CGACACATTTGGGAGGGGTATTCGCATAGTTCTCAGAAAGACGGATAAGCTGATTTGTCCAGTCCAGGCACTGGTTAATTATCTCCTCGTGAGGCCTAATGTTCAGGGATCCCTCTTATGTGACGTCATAGAAGGGCGTTACCTCCAAACAAAATGGCAGCCAAAGCACTAGCTTGGCTACGCAAAGGTCAGTATTTTGTTTATACTTGATTATGACTCGTGTGTTGTTACTATTGGTGTATCATTCAGTTACTGTTACCTCTTATTATCTATAGACTATCAACCAGCGGAGAGGTACAGACACTCCACTGTACGGGTAGGAGACTACCTGTACATGTGGGGTGGGGGCCAGCCTGGTCTCCCTGAAGTACATAATAATGAAAAGAAGAAATCAATGTGTTCTGTGATGGAGGTGTGTCACCTAAGGACTGGTAAGTGGAAGCGGAAACCCACCACTGGTAACCCTCCACTGGGTGTTGTTAGCTATGCAGCTGCTGCCATTGGAAGGGAAATATTTTATTTTGGAGGCAATTGTAATCATGGGGACTGTTATCATAATAGTTTATACAGGTAAACATGATAGTTACTGATAAATATTATTTAATATTTTATTCAGTTTTAATGTTAATACCTTCAATTGGAAGGAACTCTCTCCTACTACATCTCATCATGGTTCTATGATGAAGCACCTATGTGGCATGATAGCAATAAAAGTGAACGGTGAGGACTATCTTGTAGTAATTGGAGGGTTTGGACCATCTTCTAATAATACACCCAAACAACCTGGTGCCCAGTACAGAGGTGAAAGATTAAATTCTGGTTATCAACGATGCAATGAGATCCATTTCTATAAAGTCTCAACAGGTCAGAGCACATACAGTTTATATTAATATAATGAAGTATTGTTATTTGATGGTTCTCCACTCAGACTGGTTGCATTGAGAATTGCTTGCTTGTTTTTTCATGGTTGTCACTCCTAATTATTTGATAATATGATCAAAGAAATATCAACTACTTTGCTCCACCCAATGCATTCCATTCACACTAATTATTATTATTGATATTTTTAGGACAATGGATATCACCGACTGTCACTGGAGACAGACCACCTCCTATTTATGGCTTCACTTTAACATCAATTAATAATTCCAGTGCTATATTATTTGGAGGTGACACTGCTAATGGAGAGAGTAACAATGTATATATTCTTAATTTTACTGATACATCAGTGGTGAGTGTATTATTAGTATAATTACATTAATTATTAATTAATAATGTATTGTATGTGTGTATTATTATTCATTACACTGAGCGTGTGAGTGTGGTTTATGATAATTAAATTTTATTTTATTATTTTAGAATTGTTCAAAGTTATCTAATCCTGGAGGATCAGTACAATGGCCTAAGGAAAGAAGTGCTCATTCCAGTGTATTGATTAACACTAGCTCAGGACCACACCTACTAGTGGTGGGTGGATATCTTACTTATGATATTTGGATAATTGATATTAACAATAAATCATGGAAGGAACTGGTAAGTATATTATGA